CCCCCCCCCCCCCCACCCCCTATCCCCTCTCCTCCTATAAAAGTCACCTTCATTGGAGCAAATTCTGCGACTCCACCACCACGTCGACTAATACAAAGAACTTGCGCAATGTAATTAGATGATAAGGTGGATTTTTCCTATTCACTCGAAGTTGTGAGTGGGATTGCTTTTATTTTCTGCATCAAATACTGGCCTTCAGGGGCGTAATGGTGTAGAGTACATTGGGTTGCGCAATTCAAGTTTTCGCGTCAACTGCACTTGTGACCTTGAAATTGCATTTTTTGGCTTTGCTTTATATGGTTTTTGTTTCTTCCTCTCAAACACCTTTTTGGTAATTAGATCTAAATTTATTTCTCTTACCTTGACCTGTTTTCTTGTTTACGTGAATTTGGACTTTCCTTTGATCTACTTTTAGTTCATGGTTCATTGCCAGAGGCTACTTTTAAGTTGGCTCAGTTAATCAACCTAGCTAACCTAGTCGATTAGCTTGATTGATTTTCTACGCATCTCCATGGTTACATATTTTAAAAGTGATCTCACACAGTGTCTTGTCATGAATTGTACTCATTTGTATTGTTTTAATTGGCTAGAGCAGCAATGATGGAAAGGGAACAAAAGGTTTATCCTGAAAGTGCTCACTGTCTAATTGCACCTGTTTCTTGTTTAAGCGACTGCAAGAAGAACAAAGGAAGCATCCTCAAAAACTCAGTTGAGTACATCTCAATTTTGCAGAAGGAGAATCAAAGCTTTAATAGCCTCTATAATGAAACTAATCTCGCCCACACTGTCATTGAACGCATGATGAAACGCATTCAGGCAAGTGTACTCCTATAACTTCTTCTTCTTCTTCCACTACTCCTCATTCAGTGGTCGTCTTTACCTCTCTTCCCCCTCCCCCCCCCCCTTTTTGCAGACCTTGGAGTCGATACTACCGCCGGAATATTTGGCCAAGGTGACTTCAGAAGGCGTGGGAGAATATCGCTCGGCTTGGCAGGAGTGGAGTAAAGTGCACGAAATAAACCACCAGAAAATGGCTGCTGGTCATGGCATTGGTGTTGCAGGTGCCACAGGCATTGTTGTTGATACTAGCGAATCATCCCCTGGAATGTCCTCTGTTGGTAACAACGAAGACGGCTCGTATCTTGATGCCAGAGGTAAGACTGTTGTGTCACCTTGAATTTCCTGAAATCGTGTGATGTTATTGACGTAAAACACCAATTATGATTAATATAATATCATTTAGGCATATTGTGGTTCAAAATATCTTGATGTCTACTGTAAAATCGATACAAGTGCGTTCTCAATGCACCACTGACAAGTTAAAGGTTTCTGTTGAATTATGGATCGTTTAAGGATCCAAATGCTCTGAGCTTGTTTAATGAGACCTTGTTAAATTCTCTGAATTCCGTTACCAGTGCTCTATGTGCTGATGGAGATGTTGTGGAATTGTTGGAGGCCCCTTTTTTCAAGTGCCCCTCTGAATTGTTGGAGGCATAGAATTGCGTGAAGTGGATGAGTAGTTGTGTAGCGCCACTTCACCCTGGGCGCTCCCATTTATCATGATTGGCAGCAGCAGGTCCTTGAGATTTCAATTATATGCGCGCCCACTCCCGTACCTGGTAACTTTGTGAAAGTGGTTTGTTAATCGGTGGGGGGGGGGGGGGGGGGGAAAANNGGGGGGGGGTGGAGGTTGCAACCAACTCCAATTCCCAGGTACGGCAATGATAACAATGGTGACATTGTCCTCCTCCTCCTCCCATTCTCAGGGCTCCTCTCGCGTAAAAACGTCCGTTTTTTCTCAAGCTTAAAATTAGCTCCTTCGAGTCTTCAAAGGACGGCGCTCTGTCCCCCCCAACATGGAAAGTTTATCTCCTCATCTTTGTGCTTATTTAATTTCTACGGCTATTTTGCGCTGTGTATAGAGTTTAATTATAGAGGGAGTGCTCAACTTGCACACAGTGAAGGGTAACATTTCTCCTATGCTCTTTGTTTTGGAACTCGTTTTCTAATGACCCCATCGTGTTCATTTCGGCGTTTAGGTTATTGAGGGGGTTGGAGCGTAGCTTTCATTGCGTGAAAAATTGATTTTCATGAGTGAAGGCTTGTNTGTCCCCCCCTCCCCCCCCCCCACCCCATTCATCTGCATTTCAGTTTGCAAACATGTTTGGTTTGTGGACATGAATTTGAGAAGTTAAGAAAAAAACTGGGTTTCAGTGGCATGGCCAAATCTCATCTTCGAAGTGACCGGCGTTTCTTTCTTTTTGAGAAGCTACGGTGTTTTGTTAACCGTTTCATTTTAATGGCAACTTCTCTCTCTTCTACCCCCCCCCCTCCCCCTCCAGTTCCAATTTGGTTCTCAAAGTGCATAATTCGATTCTAGTGATTTCTTCTATTTTATTCTATTGTTTTCTTTTTAAATTTCACATTGAAATCTGTTTCAACTGCCCCCTTTCCTCCGAGTTTGTTTGCGCTAAACTATGAAACTTTTTATTTGGTGTGTAAGTTAAAATCTGCCTCCCTGGCGAGTTTCTGTCCAATGTATGCGCCTCAGAGTTGGGTAAAAATTGAAATTAAAAGACTGTGGCGTCAACTTGTATGCGCCGCGCCTTGTTGTAACCTTTTTCCTCCTATTGTAGACACACAACAATGTTCTAAGGCTTCTTTTTATTAGGTAGCAAGTGCGTCACATGGGCTCTTTTTCTGGGGTGTCGTGATGAGTGAGATAATTGAGGTAGTTGGGGGCGGGGGGGGGGGGGGGGAAAANGTGGGGGGGGGGGGGGGGGGGGGGGGGGGGGGCAAAATTGGACATTTTTAACATTCTCGTTGCCTACGTGTCACTGTTATAGTGCCGGCTTGGCATTTTTGGCAATAGTGTCATGGTTACCCGTTTTGGTTCATTATGCCACTTTTGTCCCTTCTATCATTCTCCTCTGGACTGGTGAGACTTCCTCTGAGATTTGGCTTTCTTGCAGAGACCATCTAATTTTGCCAAAATTTGCTACTTCTATCAACTCGATACTTTTCATTCCACTTGGCTGTTTTTGGAGCTGTCAAGAATTTGCTTATATTAGGACCTGGTTCAATGTGATTTATTTTTTTTCTTCAAGGAGCATTTTCGCCGTGGAATGCCGTTTGTGTGTTTTTGTTGTGAGTGGGGGTATCTAATTTTGCTTTTTGTTTTACTTTCCTTCAACTCTAGGTGATTCAAACTCCCCAGTGCCTCCGGTGGGCCGTTCTGGACGCACTCGCTGCACTTCGGCTTCATCCACCTCTGGCCAACCACTGGCATTAGGGGTCACTTCAGGAGGGGGCGGAGGTGGTGGAGGAGGTCTTGATAGTGGTGGCCCTCTAGGTGCTCCCTCCATTGTCGGTTCTCTTCCCTCTCGTGGAGCCCGTATTCTGCCCGCCACATCACCCCCTAGCCATACAGGTCCCAATCAAACTGGAACTCGTTTGCATCAAATGCGTCCCATGTTCTCACCCTCACTCTATACCTCTCCAAGCGGAAGCGGGGTCAAACATCCCTCATCCTCCTCGGGCAACCGCATGACTGGCAAACGAACTGCCGTCGGCCGTCCCCCATCCACCAAAATGGAGGAGAGTGGCGTGGGTATTCCTATGCCGCCTGTACAGAACCCCATATTTTCTCCGGGCTCTGGAAACAACTTTGGAGGAGGAAATGGCCCATTTGCTGGACTCAGCATCTCCCTCCCTGTGAGAATGGCTCCTGATGAATTTCCCACCACCACCGAGATGAACACTGATGAGGTTAGTATCCCTCTCCCCTTTTGAAAGTGCCTCTAGTCGTATATGAGGCAACAGTAATGACAATTTTCTTATATATTATTGAAGATAGTGTGAATTATATTATTTCAAGTGCATTTCTGGAAAAGTGAGGGTAAATTGGTTCTATGAATTCGGAGTATCTACTTCCTCTTCTTAGTGCGAAAGAAAATTTCCTGTTACTTTTGCACATTGCCTAGTTATACCCAAGCTTGTCTGTTATATGATACCAGAACACTTCAATAAACTGCGTTTCGCATGCGAGGTATACACTTGGTAAGATAATTGATCTGCCATTTTTGTTTTTAACATCACGTAGCTTTGTTGTTAATGCATTTCAGTTATGCGTGACATTCGACAATCACTCATAGCAAACTTTTAGATAGGGTTCTCCAATACCTCTCTCTCTCTCTAGGTTGTTCGTGGTGGTGGGTAACTCAAGTTCTGTTGATTTCATTTTTGGTTATACTTCATCAGAGCGGGGGGTGTGCCGATGGAAATTGTGCCTGTGATCTCTGACTTTGCGGATGGTATGGTTAGCTTTTGCTTAACCGATGTAACTCGGTGGGTTATTGATTACAATTGGCTGTGTTTACCCCCGCCCCGCCCCCCCCCCCACTCCATCCAATGCTGAATTAAACTGAAAGCGACGATGCACTCGATGCTCGCTATTTGGTGACCGATGCTTGAAGCGTAATCAAACTTTGATCTACACCATTCAATTTCCTCAGGTGTTTATTTTTGCGCATGTGCACCAGCTCTGTGCTAGAGCCTTCAGTCGGACAGTTTATAAGATGTATCTCTTGCTGGTGTCTCTCCGATTGATTCATTTAACTGTCTGGACAGTCCCAAGGTCATTTTGATGGCAGCGTCTGACTCCACCCTGCCGCTTGTACCATTTTGTCGCCAAGACGTATTTTGTCCTTTATTATTCTCCTGAATCATATGTCTGACTAATTCCGAGCGTTCATCGTTCCCGTGGGGGTGGGAAGTGAAGCGGTTCTTCATATTCCGATGCTCGCCCTCTCTGAATTGGGGGTGATAGATCTCGGCAATAAAGTTTGTTAAGTCTCGGTGGCTTTTCCATTTAATTTACTTACCAGAACACAAGTTACTAAGTGGTCGACTTAATATATTTATTCTTTTTCATATGCAGACATTTTCAGCGTCAAACAGTTGGCGTTGTGTTTCGTAGTGGCAGAAAATGATTTAATATTTGATGATGGCGTCCATATTACTTTGTGGCAGTCAATTGACGTATTGTGTGTTGGTTCTCATTTTAGTCCTATCTGCGAATGACAACTGAGAGCGGAGGGGAACCGGGCAATGGTTGTCAAGATGTGATGTCAATCCCAGCTGGAGGATTCAAGCCAGAGCCAATGGTTGAAGTGCCCTGCAACCCCCCACCTACATCATCTACTCCATTACATTCACATTCCTATCAGTCCCCTCTGTTCTGTGGAAGTGGACCTGGTGTGAATATTGGTATGTCTGGAACCGTTGGGGGAAGTAGCGGTGTTCCTCCAATGTGGCCACGTTTACAGCGTCTTGTGTCAGATGGACAACATCAAAAAGCACCACCCGATCCAACTTCACCTGGTCATCAACCCATGGCCGACGAATTACAATTCGATCATGCCGTGTAACCATCCTTTGTCTTCATCACATTACCCTCAGATATCCCTCATTTTTTTATGCTCACAGCCATTTACCGTCTGTTTGTTTCGTGGGTGTGATGTCTGCTCTTTGTATACAGCCTATCACTCTGTCCTTACATTAATCACGTATTCACACTTTTTGACCCCTCCCTCCCTCCTTCCCTCCCCCCCCCTCACTCTTTTTGATAA